TAAGACAAATCGGTGCCCTCGGCATAATTTCTTCTTCATAATTTCTTCTAACTAAATATTTTCTTACTTTTCAACTCATTCAATTAGTTCTGTTTCTTCTTCAAATCATTTAACTAGATGCTTGTTTTAAAATGAATATGTGACTGGATACGAAGCGACAAATGTAGACATCTATATAGTTTACTTCGCGCTTGCTTCTATGTCAATTGGATCAAAACAAAGTTCAACTTGTTTCCTTTCTTCAAATTCGCTACTGTTATCATTTATTTTAATTACGGACGAAGTTGCGAATATTGCCGCCAGTTTTCGAGCTTGGCTACACGTTGCCGCGCGTTTAAAAATGGCGGACAATGAAACAGCTGTTTAAGCGAGCACGAGGACATCTAACGGAACGCGCGCGTAATCGAGCCCGCGACGACAGGGAAGAATGGGAGACGAGTGGGTCGAGGACCGTTCGTGTCTGCAGTAGCCGTGTCCGTCGTGAGAGTCGACGAAGGAAACATGGCTGCAGGTTGTTGTGGAACGAAAAAGCAAAAGCTTAACAATTCATCGAGCGTTCCATGCAATGGCTCGATATTACAAAATGGCACACAGCTGAGGAACGGCGTGATAGTGAAGCCCGAGATGGGCTTCTTTTGCTTTGATGTCCTCTATTGCCAATTACATCAGCTCGACCCTCCAAAACCGCCCAGCTTCAGCAACGAAGCCTTGTGAGTAATAATACTTGCTGACATTGTCGTTCGTTTTTGACCTCTCTTGTTCCTTCTTTCGTATCGTTGTCTCTGTCTTTGCTGTGTTGCCATCTTTCTCTCGTATACTCGCGCCATCAGCTGCTCTCTTCTATCCGAATGTTCAACTCGCGTACCTTCACCCCTCCTTCGGTTTCTTTGTTACGATGTTTGATGCTTCGAGTCTCATATTTTACATCGAGACAAAGGCTGATTTTTCTCACAAATGTATGTTATCGGTCACACCCTTTTTCTTTTCGTTATATTTAAATTGTTTAGTATCATGTGACCTTACATCTTGTTTATATTTAGCCTTTTCTTTTGGGTGAAAATTAGAAATGTTTCCTTTGCTTAATAATGTTACATCAGTGCTGATAAATTATGTTCTACTTATTTGTTATAGAAATAAAATTAAACACGAAATTATATTCCAAGATGTAATTTTTTTATTTTTCATTGTTACAGTTATCAAGCTATATAAATAATTATAACCATTTATAATTAAATAATGAAAATGGGCTATATGATTATTTATTTGTACTTTTTAGCCCATTATTTGTAACATGGACTATTGGGAAAGATATGAGGCTAAGAGGTTGTATTGGTACGTTTAATGCAATGCAATTGCATGCTGGTCTGCGAGAATATGCTGCAACCAGGTAAGATTAGTTTAAATTTTATACCAAGTAATATCATTGGTCTATATATTTAAAGACATTAGACACTTTTAAGTGCGTTCAAAGATTCACGTTTTAATCCTATAACACGGGAAGAACTTCCACGCTTACATGTAAGTGTCTCACTTTTGAGACACTTTGAGGATGGTGTCGATTATTTAGATTGGGAAGTGGGTGTTCATGGAATTCGAATTGAATTTCACAATGAAAAGGGTAACAAACGGACTGCAACTTATTTACCTGATGTTGCAACAGAGCAAGGTTTGTACATTTTACTCTTTATATATTCACTCTTTTACTGGATGTATTAAATAATTAAATCGACAGGATTCTGTGATTTTCTTTTTTTTTTTCGAGGGGAGGGTATCAAAAATATTATTACTTCATGCAATATGCATTGAATTGTAGAGATAGACATGTTTAGTGTGCACAATTATTTAAGAATAAAACACAACTTACTGTGTTTAGGGTGGGACCAGATACAAACAATAGATTCACTGCTACATAAGGGTGGTTACAAAGGGTTGGTCACTCCAGATATTAGACGTAGTGTGAAGTTAACACGGTACCAAAGTGAAAAGATTACTGTAAGTTATCAGGATTATATGACACATTGGCATAGTCGAAGATGCTAGCAGCTGGCCTGGGGTTCTTCTGGTCAAGGACCCCAATTATCTCAAAATTCTGCCGGAGTTCACTATGACACCAACATCTCTCATACATCACATTTATCATACAATAGCACTCAATATAATTCTTACGTGGCCAGTCAGGAACATGGATTAGCAATGACACAACGTAATCATCCTACATCATTCATACATCCCCTTCCAATGCCCTCTGTTTCACCAGTTATGGTACCTGTATGGGATTATTCATCATTTTGGTGGGATCAAACAGGTTCATCCTATCCTCCCCTACATCCACATCTGCATCCTCCTCGTGTTCATCGATTTTCGTCCCAAGAATCTGCAGATCGCGGTGTTCGTAAACGCAAATGACACTGGAAACGGTTGTTCTTTGCAATGTTTAATTGTTTGAAGTGGTGCCTATTATACTTTGTATGTTTCTACATACACAGTTTTCCCTTTATGATATCACAAAGTACTCCTTGGGAATAATAAAAGTTTACGTATGATGGCACTGTCTTATTCCATTAATAATTTTCACACGATATATAAATAAAATTATTATTTATCTAATAATTGGTATAAATAATCGTAAGATATGTCGAAAGATGCATTAACTTTTAACTTCAATATCACTAATTATTAATGAGACAATGTCAAGTATTCAGGTTTTTAAACTTATACTAAAATATAATTACTTTGTATCGCGTGCTTTCATGCGTTTATAACTTAAACGACGCGTTTCAATCAATAAGTAGTATAAAAATTTAAACGTAGCTCTGCCATCATACTTATCACATGTTCATTAATATGTATGTCTGCAGTATACGAGTGACATAAACAAATACATAGCACAGTGATGCTACCTGCAATTCACTGCCTGCTTCACAAGATTTAATGTACAAATTCACTCGAAAATGTTTCTATTATTCGTATACTACGAAGAGCGTAGGATATCATCCTTAGATCTATATACATAAATCTATAAATGAAGGGTGAATGAACACGAATTTTCTATTCATAGTGTTCCTCCTGTAATGTTGTGTTAATACGCGTATAGCGTAGTTATTATAGCATCATTTTTATATAATCATATATTTTTATGGCAAGTTATAAAAAGTTCATAAAAATAATGAATTACTATCAAGGCAATTAATAAAAATAATATGCTTCATACTTTCGAGTTAAATACATTCAAACAACATTATTTCGAATTTTAATTTTTTTTTACATGTGATGATTGAGCCACAAATAGTAATAAATATACCAATTTTAATCTAACTAATCCATATTTCTTTGTAGTAATGGTATAAATAAAATATTTATATTACATTATGCACAGGTAATTATACATATTATATTTATTGTTGAGATTTATGAAGATGTAAATCTTCAACCTTATAATTGAGTTTATCGCATCTTTTATTTCATTTTTTTATACCATTGATACACTGAAATTTATTTTGATAATAACAGTTGTACTATAGTCCGGCGTGTTATTACAGCAAAGGATTTACATCAATGAAGGAATCAGTATATAAATATATTATATTACGAAATTAAATTTTAATTTATAAGTTTAAATAAAGTTTTGAAAAGAATGTTCGGTATGGTAAAAGAAATGTATAGAAAGGGACCTCTACTGTAAATAAGCAATGGACTGCATTATGACTATTAAAATGCATTAATAATAGTTGTAATATAGTTGTAAGTTAAAATGTGACGATCTCATTGTGATTCGTATTATTCTCTTGATTGACAAATCATAAATAGAATCACTATTGCTTTCTGTAACGTGCTTATCCTATTACTTTATTTTTACTTAAAGCAAGGCACAATGACGACATATTAGAACAAATCAGTGAAATATATATATTTTGTAATTTTTGAGACAATGCAAGATATGTTCTTCCATGTATTAATGCCTTTGCTTTTCTTATTCTTTCACGTTCACTTAGTAAATTTCATACACTGCCAATTTATCTATTGCTGTTCTTATTATAGCAAAAATACTTTGTGAAAGTAAAGAGACATTAGTAAATTCTTCTAATTAGTGGTTTTGTATTCGATGCCATTAAATATATTCTATTATTTGAGTAGTTAATTTCTAGAACCTAATTATGTATTCAGCATTATATAATGTCCAGTTAACTGCCAGTTAAATACTTAACGATAAAGCATTCAGTACTTGCAAAATAATTGTATGTGCTCGATTTGTGACAATAGAATTTATTAGTTCTAGAATATTGTTAAGCACACAATGAATTATATGTATTTATTTTTTTCAATTGCAATAGATTTTTCATATGCAATTAAAACAAATCTCACAATTCTGATTCAAATGGGTTTAGGTAAAATTAAATAGAAATCTACGAGTAATTGATATAGCGATGTTTACGATTATATGAAAAAAAAAAAACTGAACATGTTATTTTAGAATACATTACGTTTTTAATATTTTCATGTATAAAAATGCGTTGTGCCTGAGATCACATTTGCATTGAGTAGTTAATAAACAATATGTACCTATTTAGAATCAGAAAAATCGGGGAATTTGCGACCGAATAAACTGTAAGAAACAGTGCTAGTAACTTAATATAAAATTAGGATGGACGAATAAAGATTTTATATTATCACGTCGACTGTTTTAATATTCCTGTCTGTATGAATTATAAAATGATTCTATGCTCACCAAGGTGAGATTCATTTGACATCGGGCTGTATCCATCTGATAGACAGGGGAACCGAAATTTAAACTTTATATTCCTTTGTCCGACCACTACACTATGTCTATTTTAATCGTAAGAGCGGGTATTTGATTAAATAAATAGACAATTTAGAAAGTAAATTTGATAGTACAGTTTGTTAGAACAATGGCTGGTAATGAGAGAACTGTTTTCAAATACTGTAACTCCGAACCTCTTGAACAAGACATCTAGCGGAACGCGCGCGCAATTTAGTATGCGATAGCAACGGTGAACAAGAGATGTACAGTTCGGAAACCACTCGTGTGTGCGGTGGTTTCAAGGATTGACTGGGAAAACATGGCAGCTGGTTGTTGTGGAACGAAAAAGCAGAAGCTAAACAATTCTTCCAGCATTCCGTGTAACGGTACCGTGAGTTTACAGAATGGTATTCGTATACGAAACTCCATAATAGTACAGCCTGAGATGGGCTTTTATTGTTTCGATGTTCTTTACTGCCAACTGCACCAACTTGATCCACCAAAACCGCCCAACTTCAGCAACGAAGCATAGTGAGTACTTTTCACTGCTGTTGCTTCTCATCTCTATCCCTTACCTTTCATTCCTTATGGAGTTTAATTTCTCTTTATTGAAATCCTTGAATATACATTTAGTGAACGATACAATATTTTCTATCCCCCTGTGTCTTCTACATTATAAAGTTTCTTTGTGTAAACATCTACATACATTTCGTGTTTACGATTTCGTTTTGAGGGTTATGTTTTCCTTTTTGAAATTGAAAGTAACTCTCAGTCTTACGATATGATACATGTATATACAAAGAAATTGCATTAAATCTAAAATTAATTAAATTACTGTAAATATCTTTTGCTTCTGTTCCCTTACCATGCATCCTAACAACCTTGAAATTTTTAGGTCAATTGTGCTGTTAAATATCTTCGATATATACGTGTTTACCTGTGTTTCAGATATTAAATAGAAACACACAAATGCACATGCATCGCGTATACACTTACCCTTTACATGCTATTTTGATTATAATTTATATTGTTTTATATGAATGTCATATTTATTTGTATACTTTTTATTTCAAAGCAAATTTTAATTCATCAGATTAGTATCAAGTTGCTAGAAATATTGATATGTTAACGAATATAATAGCATCATTATATTATCTATATACTAATGTATAATAATATGTACATTCGACTTTGAAGCCCATTATTTGTAACATGGACTATTGGCAAAGATATGAGATTACGAGGCTGTATTGGTACATTTAATGCAATGCATTTGCATGCAGGATTGCGGGAATATGCAGCCACTAGGTATTATTTACTATGTAGCTGAAGTGAACAATATTTTATTAAAAATTTTAAGTGTATTGTGTCTCATAGTGCTTTTAAGGACTCACGATTTAATCCAATAACACGAGAAGAACTACCACGCTTGCATGTCAGTGTTTCTATACTTCGACATTTTGAAGAAGGAGCAGATTATTTAGATTGGGAAGTAGGAGTTCATGGAATACGTATTGAATTTCACAATGAAAAGGGTAACAAACGAACTGCTACTTACTTACCAGATGTAGCAAGGGAACAAGGTTTGTATATTCCTTTTTTAATGCTAATTGCAAGTGTTCTGTTAAGTTACAATTTCAAATATTTAGGGTGGAATCAGATTCAAACAATAGACTCTTTGCTGCATAAAGGTGGTTATAAAGGGTTAGTAACTCCAGATATGAGACGCAGTGTAAAATTAACTCGATATCGGAGTGAGAAAGTGACTGTTAGCTATCAAGACTATATGTCACATTGGCAGGGTCAGACATGCTAGCAACTGCCAAGGGGTCCAAGTTATGGACCCCTCTGGTGCCAAACTACTAGCATGATTTGTTATTTCAATACTGTTAGAGTTAATCTTTGTTTTCATTATATTAATAATCAATGTACTAAAGTAATAGAGAGTCAGCAAGCAATAGTTATGGTAAAACCTAAATACTTTTCATTTATGCAACCATTTTCTATACCTGTTAGTTCTCAGGTGATATCATCAATGCAAAACTATCCATTGTTTCTATGGGAAAATATAAGATTATTCTTTCTATTATATCATTACAATCATGAACGATGTCTTCCTCCACAGAGATTTCAACTTTGGAATACAACAATAAAAATTACATTAGAGGCGATTGAATGCAACCTCATGCTATTAATATTCGTGCCTATTGCATTTTTCACGTTTCACGTTTATCTTCCTTATAATAATATTATATATTTTTCAATAAAGATAATAAAACCTTCGGTATAGCGGCACTGTTCTTTCACGGCTATTACTTGCAAATAAAATATTAGGTATATTAAAGTTGTATCTATTAAATGCAGTTCAAAAATTTTATACAGTCTCAAACTTGTCATAGTAAAATATAATAATACACACGTTTATTTAATAGCATACACCAATTATTATTGTTCATTATAATTTTTATTATGTATTATTCTGTAATTTTAAGAAATATTTAAGTTTCCTTTTAAAATGTATATTGCTAGGTATGTAGACAGAAACTAATTGTGTATGCTTGAAAAGACATTGTAACAATTTCCATATTTATAAGACTTTTATTCTAGTATATTGCTATCAATACATTATGTCCTCAGTATCCAAATGAAATTAGGGAAACATAAAGAATATTTAGTTATATATTTTTTTCTTATTTAAAGGATGGAGTTTCAAGTGATTTATAATGTACAAATATCATGATACATAAATAAAACACATTCTGCTTTCTACAAAAGTACTTATTTTCATTATACTCATAATATACATAGTAATATATGTATAATTGACTAGTAAATTATTTTGACATTTTTAATGGTTCATTTTCGTTCTGACATTTCTCAATTTGTAATAAAATACTTCCTAAATTTTCTGCTGATAAAATTTGTTTGTATGTTATGCAACTAGCTGTAATTGTATTACAAGTAATTAATAATGCAATGTGCTTAACTCCTGGTTTGACAACACTCCACCAAAATTTACCAAGTTCTCTATATTCTGTAATATATGGTATCCTTAATCCTAAATTTCCTGCAATCTATGTGGATAACAGAGAAAATAGAAAAAGGATTAGACTAACCAATGTAAAATACCATTACAATAAAAAAAATAAAGTAGTCACCGCAAGATTTATTGTTGGCATCACAATTAGAGGAAATAACAGGCCAGCAACATTTACAAGTAGAGATGATTTTAATTCAAAACATAATGGGCAATGATATTCATATAATAATATGGGATCCCTGATTATCTGAAATAATTTGAACAAGCATAATAATTTATACTTATTTTAGATATAATTTAATAAAATTTATTATAATCTTTACGTACAGTTTCTTGAAGGGAACCTACAATTGTTCCTGGCCAAACTGCTGCACTTATTGCTGTAAATAGTCGGCCATTACCGTGTAATTTTAATTTATTTCTGAACATAGAATTAATCATTACGCTGGAGAAACCAGTTAATGCACCAAGAATTGCACTTCCATATTTAAGTGGCCATCTTATAACAAAACAAGACAAAAGTATTATAGATGCAAACGAAAAGTCAATGCAAAAATAAAAGGTTACGTACACCTCCGATCGAGGTTCCCACTCTTTCACTAAATATTTTTGATACATCAGAGCTTCGTCTCTTGGTATCTCTTCGAGATCACCATCATTCAACTTGCTTTTATCGCGTATGGGAATTAATACCATTTTGTAGTTTTTCCAAGTTCAATGAAGTTCAAGAATTTACGTGCATCATGGACGTGTTGCACTATCAGAGGTTATTAATACCGGCAGTAACAATTTCTTATATGTAGATCTAATGAAATATTTAATAATCATAATTTAAAGGGCATTAAACCTACTAAAAAGTATGAATTTCTTTAAAACACGAAAGATTGAGTGCACATTATAAAATACAAACTACTTTATTTCTTATGATATTATTTGCTAAGGATCATTATAAGACAATGCGATGCTATAGTACTGTATTTTATAATTTTGTGTAGTTTATTTATAACATAACAACATGCATACGTTTTCCTTTAACTTACGAAATATTTAATTGAAATAAGATTGTCGAAGTAACTCTTTAAATAATTCTCTTGACCAACGATCTATATATATTTACATCTATATATGATACGCACACGTTCTCTGTTTTGAGCCTTTAGAGTGGCGTCATCCGTGGTAAAATGCTCAAGTTTGTAGTGAAAATAGTTTCCACTGTTACTACTAGATGACCCCATCGATATATTTTAATCAAATATATTTTATTTTTATCGTAAATTCATAATTAATACCATTCTTTGCTTTATAACATTACAATATATTGTTCAAATATTTATCTGCTTTTCCGTATATTATTCATTTATGTATAGTTCAGACTGCAATCTATAATTACCAGTAATTATATAGTAATAATAGTAATAATGGTACTATTTGCAATGAATGTAACGTAAACGTATTCTGCTTTCAATTTAAATAAAATAATAAATGTATGAAATAATAAAATGATAAGAGCATAGTTAATATGTCAAATTTATCAATCTTATGAATAGTTGTTTCGTGTGAAACAATTGAACTTGTTTCGTTCAATCTAATGAACAGTAATCGAAATTTTAGTCAGTGGCGCCATTTAGCAGCAATAATGGGAACTATTTTTCCTACAAATTTGGGCATTTTACCACCGATGGCGCCACTGGTGCCAAAATCCAAGATTTGAAGCCAGAATCAATTCCAAACATTTTGATTAAAAAATTTAGAATACTTTTAACGCGCTAAGCGCAGCGCTGGCCCCACGAGACCGACAATGAACTTTTCGTTTAGGCAGCATCAGTCCTCGGAGATTATGGGCAATAAATCGTTTTAAAAATAATCACCGTGAACTTCACTTTTTAAAACACAATTTTGAATAGGATTTAAAAGCAATGAATTAAAATTCCTTGAGTGAATGTGGTGTTTAAAATATCGTGGGTATTTTCTAACGACCGTTTTTCGGGAGTCGCATTCTTACCATTTCTTATCACAGTATCTTTTATTCGTACTTTATATGCTTTCGCATTGGCCGTGTCGTATGCTATGGCACCTGGGAGTGATTGCGTTTACCTGTGCGCCACAACAGTACCTAATTTCAATAAGAATGGAATATTAAAAAACCAGTCGACCTAAAATTCTTTAAAGTTGAATACTTTTAAAAGTTACCCTTTAAATATCAGTTTCCAATCACCACGGTGAGATGGAACCATCGTACAGCTTGAGAGCTGGCGCCACGCGTTGGAGGGGTAGCAAAATTCAACTGTGAATTCTATTCGGATTGTCGATATTCGGATAATTTAATTTACCAATATTCAATTAATATTATTCTCTGCAACGACATGGAGGTATCATTCTTTATCAAGATGTTGCTTGAATAAGAGTGCGAAGTACCATGATCTTTTACGTTTCGCGAAAGTCGCGCGTACGAGTGTCCGTCGGTGATACTCGCGAGGGGTTGCTTTTACGGGGTAGCGCGTCACAAGGCGACCTGACGTCACAGCATGGTGCGATCGACCAATAGGAGGTGGCGTTCTCGCGACCAGTCAGTTTTCCGGCTGCTAGAGTAAGCGCGACGCCATATTTCTCGTGGCCCGAGTGGTGGCGGCCTGTGTTTATATCCGTTTCGTTTTACCACGTTTCGACGGGCCACCGGGAGGTCTCGCGAGTGACGTGTCGAGTCGTGTACGTGCCCGTCTACGCCACCCGTGAAACAGGTCGCCGATTCGCGTGACAATAGTGTACCGTGCGCGATCGCGTAGTATCAAAGTGACACGCCGTGTGTTCTTTGCGCTACTCTCTCTCGTTACGCGTTTCTTCTCCCTTCCGTGAAGTGGTGCCGTTTCGCCCTCGTCTGTTCACCCTCTGGCTGCGACGTTGTGTGTTCCGACGTATCCGTGCACCAGGGATTTAAAACCATCGTCGAAGAGGATGCCAGTCCGTAAGCAAGGTGGTAAGCTCTCCGTATTCTCTCGAAACAAAAGCCACCCACCCCGAGCTCGTCGATTCTGGGTAGAATCCAGAATCGTCGAGTGGGGAGGGGCGACATGCATGGGTCACTCGGTCAGCTGTCATCTGGCTGTCAGTTGCATGCCTCTTTAATCTTTACCGTTTGACAACGTATTGAACTCCACGTGCTAGATGGCTTTTAACGTATGACAGATCGAACCGAATGCGCCCCGTTTAGCGCTCCAATCGACGGCGCATCGCGCTTACGCGAAGATATTCGCGACACTCGTCGTGTTATTGTTGGTTTTTCTTGTTCGAGCCCGAGTTGCGCACTACGCTCGACCTTGAATCGCACAGTTAATCAAGAGAGGTCGCGTGCCTACGGGAGAGATTACTTTCGACGTAATCGGCCGCGATTATTGGTTAAATGTAACGTCAGATGTAACTTGTTGGAGTTTCGACCACGTGCGGTATACAGTGGGTGTAGAAAGTATTCGTACACCGATCAATTTCCAAAAAAACTGTGTAAAATTGTAATTTATTAACTTAATTTTTATAAACAATAACATTTTACATATTCTCGGAAATCTCTGGAATAGATAGATTGCAAAAAAAAGTAGCTATTTATGTAAGTTGTGAAATTAACAAGAAAAAAACAATTAATCGATAGAAATGTTGATGCAATAAATATTCGCACAACTGTTTAAAAGTACTTTACTGGGAATATGATGTTTTCTAATTCGTACGGAGTAATAAACTATTGTGTTTACGTTACAAACTCTACTGTAAATGGTTCGTCATAAGAATCGTATAAATACTTATTGCTTCTATACTTTTACCCACTTTTCGCATTTTTTTTTTGTTAATTTCACAAATTCTATTAAATAGTAAATGTTGTTTGAACTATATCTATCTTAGAGACTTCCGCGAATATGTAAAATATCATTGAT